TGATAACTGATGTTTATATAACTGGAATGATTTTTATTCAGGATGAATGGATAGATGGATGATGCCAACAAAAATATGAAAATGCACAATTGTATCAAAAAACATGACAAATAAACAAAAAGAAAGACATATGAATTACATAATCAATACATATTTTTTGTAGTAAATATAACATTTCTGTAGCTTTGATATAATGAAAGGTTATCCCTCATTTTGCACAAATAAAAATAAAAACAATGGGAATGGTGTATAATTGGCTAAATGTCTACTTCAGTCAGTGGGTCTTAGGGACGATTGTAAGCTGATCCATCATTAGCTAAAACCATTACAGTGGCCCATTACCAAAACCCTACAGACCCCAAACTGGTCCGTGTCCATTACACATCTCCCACCAGCCTTTTAACTGTCCTCTGTGACATCCCTCCGCTTCGCAGCTGGGAGACGTTTGAAGGAAAAAGCATCAATATTAGAGACGATATCGCATCAATCGCCTCATAAATCAGACTAATAGCCGATCAGACTGCACGAGTGACATCATCACTGGTCCCTATTTGTGTTTGTCACACAAACTGGATGCTTTCAAAAGAGAGAAATAATGTGATTTATGGAGCTTATAGAATTTTTAATATTTTTAAAAATATTTTTTATTACTTTCAAGTTATTTAAAAGGAAATAAATAAAATTTAAAGATCTAAAATATCTGTTGCAAGTTTAATTTCACGTCTCTTTACTTTATATTTGACACCCTTCTTGTCCAGAGTTAAATAATTAATGTTGTGGTTTTAAATTTCATGTGTTTGTCGTCTGTGGTTGTGTTTAGATAAGTCTTTGACCGGGGAAGGATGTGGGGGATTTTTATTTGGTTTTATATAAAATAGGTTTTTTGTGATTTTATACACATATGATTTTTATTTTGTTAAGCTATCATCCTCAGCAAATTTTATTCTGGACAAAGAGTTAAATGAGATTTTTGCCATTTTGATATTTTCTGCTGCTGTGACTGTGCTGTTTTACTTTTCTAGGAGCCCAACAATGTTTTCCAGATTGGAAAAAATCTTACATTTTTGAGAAAGCAGCCAAAACATCAATTTGAAAATTCGTGACAACATAGCCCCACCGCATGCACACCTCTCCCCTACCGACCTCTTTGTTGTCTTTACTCAAGCATAATCTCCATACTCACACCAAAGCCTACAGTACTCTAGTGCACTTGGTGGAAGTGCATGTAAAGCTTTGAGTAAACAGGTGTGCAAATTACTGTAAAAGTGGGACAGTGAGCATTGTGTCATTAAAATGCACCACAGCATTGTATCTCGTGACTCCCAAATGGGGAAGTTGGTCGCCGTTTGTGCTACTTTGTTGCTTAAAGAGATAATGTGTAGTTTAAACAGTTAATCTCTGGAAACATCCATCAAAATCTTGTTAAAAAAGAATGAAATGATGCCCAGTTGTAGAAAAATATTGGCGACTTCGTAAAATATAACCATAACAATTAGGTCTAAAACATGGGAGCGGGTCTAATTCTCTGGGCGACGCCATATTCGACGCCATGTTTTCTTTCTGTGAGAGCTATTGAGGGGCACAAGAAGTGGAAGTGCGAGAATAGGGAGCCCAAGTCACTTCCGCATCATGGATCCCCAGAAGAACGAAAAAATGAATGCAAGTCAACGGGGCTAAAAATGCTATTTTCTAATTCTGCTTGTTTTGTGCCATGGATTTCAGATATGATGTTCGTGAATTTTTGAGGCACATTTTGATACCAAGAACACGCTTATTTTATAACGGGGAGGAACGATATTTTAGGTTTTGTGGGAAAATAAGTCCAGGACTACAAATGCACTTCACCAAAGTGATGTTATTGAACCAGACACGGAGAAAACTGTGAGAAAATGGCTGTAAGTTCAGCAAACTTCCCACAGGAGGAAAGAACCACCATAAAACTAGTCATTTGGTAAGTAGCAGCTACGTTAGGGGAGAGGAGAAGTGGGTCACATATGCAACGTGCCAAATTCTAGTTTGTAGTCATGCTAATTACGAACAAGCTGATAAACCTCAAAGTACGTGACAGGCGTGGTTGAAACGCCCATCATTACTTTTCTTTTAAATTGCAGTACAACATATGTGCGATCCAGGGTGTAAGCAAAGCGGACTTGAAAGTAACGTTTTTAGCCCCGTTGACTTGCATTCCTTTTTTTCGTTCTTCCAGGGACCCATGATGTATACCAACATACCAACCACTGTATATTTTATATCTCTTATTTTATTGTTTACTTTATTCATTGGTTAAATATGTATATACGCATTATACACACACTCACATGCACACACGTAGAAAAATAAAAAATAAAATACTTAGCACACACATTTAGGAATGTGTATACCTTACATACTATATATATATATATTATTACTTAGATTAGCCATTTTTATATTTTGCTTGTTTTTACGTTGTTGTATTTTGCACAACTGTTGCTGTGAAGCTCGCACACAAGAATTTCACTTGCATGTACTGTACCAGTGTACCTGCACATGTGAAGTGACAATAAAAGTGATTTGATTTGATTTGATGTGGAAGTGACTTATGGGCCATTCCCATCTGTACCGGGTTGGCCCGGGCCGGGTAGCCCCAGTCGGCCCCAGCCTGGCCCGGTTGATTCCACACATCCTTGTCTTAAGCCCATGTGGGCTGATTCTACCCACCAATCAGAGGCTTGCTCTAATGGAAGGTGTGAATTTGCTGTCAGCAGTGGGTGTGTTGGCCCTGGTCGGCCTGAAGCAGACCCCCTCGAGAAGAGGGCTGAGAATGAGCCTTGGTTGGCCCGGAAAAATACCAGGCCACCCAGATATGTAAACAACCTACGCTACCCAGCCCGGGCCGACCCGGTACAGATGGGAATGGCCCATAAGGCTCCCGATTGGGACCATCGACATAAATATACTGGACATCTCCTTTCCATAGGCTCCAATATCACGTTTTTGAGGCCAAATGGGAGGTGGCCACCACCGCCATTTTGACCGTGTCACAGGTTCCGTCAAGCCAGAGATGGAGCTGAGGGTGGGGCTGTAAGGCTGCGATCAACTGACGACACCCGGTCGAACTAGCTACAAGCTAACCCTGGCTAACCCAAAGCTAACGTGGAGGTGGGAGCTAAGCTAACAGAGGTAACAACCTAGCTACAACCGGAGTTAACTGTGCACAACACCAGAGCTTCTGAGTCAGAGATACGCCGGGCTGACCGCTGGGTAAAACCGGGTGGAACACAGAGGTCTCCAAGACCTCCACAAACCGGCAGCCGCACAGCAGACAAGCGCCACTGCGATCTGAGCTGCGCAGAGCTGCCGCTGGGGAGAACCGGGTGGAAAGGTTTCCATCCCAGAGCTCCACAAGCCGTCAGCCCGTGCATCAAACAGAAGCCGCGATCAGACAGAGATGAGCCGAGCTGCGGGGAGACCCAGCCGGCATTCCGCGCGTCAAACAGAAGCCGCGATCTGACAGGAAAGGGAGGGGAAGGGGAGAACCGGGTGGAAAACAGCGGTCTCCCGAGAACTCCACAAGCCGATAGTCGGAACCCAGCTCCACCAACATGTTATATTTCAACCCATTTTCTAAAATGCAGCATTATGTTAAATGCACTGGGTTTTACCCTATTACATTTAAATTTCATGGTTAAACAGTACATGTTAAAATCTAAGCTCAGCTCGGCAGTGACCTAAAATACATAAATATAATTTTACTTACCGAAAAAAATGAAGTGGAGACTCCTTGGACGCTCTATTAGTGTAATTAATGCCACAGCAAGTCATTTTGTCCAACAATTGCACAAATAATATCCAAACAAGAATACACAAACACAGACACTCAAAATGCCGGAGCAGTTTCCAGGCCAGACCGAGGCTCTACTGAGGCCTTTCCCCGGAGCTAGCTCTGTGGTCACGTGGGTCTGAGGCGGCGGTCACGTGTGTCGGATGCTCATTAATTATACAGAATTTTAGGCTTTTAATACACTTAAACAGAAGAGTGAGAAAAACATTCACCCCCCTCAGAGTTGTCATGAGTGTAAACTAGATAATTTAAACAAAAAACATGTTTTGGTACCAGGCTGTAAACATGTTTATTTCTGCTGTGAAATTGGTATTTTTAACATGGGAGTCAATGAGGATTTGCTCGCTTCTGACACCAACCCCCAGCGGATGAGGGTGGAACTGCAATTTATTTCATTTCTGGGTTTGCCTCAATTTTAGAGTTGCATTGTGGGGGCTTGATTGGGACTGAACCCCTTAACGCTGAAGGTCAGGGCATTGTCTCCTGCATTGTGGCTCTGTTGCAGCGCCACACAGAGGCTTGGAGCAGCTACTGCAACATTTTGGAGACATTTTCATTATTTTCATATGGATGATAAATAAGGATGTCCGATATGATTGGTCTAACACTAATGTTGGACGATATTGGCATTCAAATAATATATCAGTAAACATGGGATGCACGGATAATGTTTGAAGCCTATGCATGATAGGAGATACGTGATGTTAGCACCTTAAATTGTATAGTTTATCTTTTTTCATTATCGGGAGGGGCTGCATATATTGGTTTCTGAAATAAAGAGTTAGATAACGCTGAATATTAGTAAAAAGCCTATATCAAGCATACCAAATTAAAAAAATCTGTTTTTGGTTTCCAATGCCTTTTAAAGGTAATATAAATGCATTATAGTCTTCCATATCAGACAGGACCGAGCTGGTTGTGTTGCATCTTTCATCCAGAGGGTACAGATTTTTTTTTCATCGGTCTAAGTTTACTTAGGAGGCTTTAGCTAAACTTTGTCATCGTTCCAACCAGCAGGCGTTTTAACTCAGCCTCTCTGTTCCAGGTAGAAACTTTTGCTTTCATTTTTTTATATTTAGGAACAAATCTGGAAAGCTCTCCTGTCTTGTTTTCATTGTTTTGCTCCGGATGAGAATAAGTTATCTCAGTAAATCATGTGTCTCTGGATCTCTGGTAGGTAAATGGAGCTCCAGGACCGAAGCCGCTCTCCATCTCGCAGAACCAGCCGAGTGGAGCAGGTGGTGGGGCGATGGCTGAGACGGTCCAGAGACTTGGGCAGCAGGTCTCACTCCTTAAACAGGTGATCTGATCACGTATTAAGTCATCTCACATGAAGCAATTGTGACAGTTGTCCAGATTTTTCCTCTTACTTAGATTTTGTTTTGTTCATGTGAATAATTTATAGAGAAAAACAATATTTGTAAAGCACAGCTGTAGAGCACAAATCCTGTAGTAAAATGTTGTTCTCTTTAGAGATCGTGTTGCAGCCGACGGGAAACCAGCGGAGTCCAGCTGCTCTGATCAGAGGAATTACCCATTCCGGTTCAACGTTCAGATCCAAAGAGACCCAAACTTCACCTCCCATGGTCTCACTCTTTCATCTCAGATCCCCATCCTGGTGCAGGAGGTCAGCTCGGGTAGGACAAGTCTCACATGTAGCATTAATAATGAAAGTGTGTTTATGTGAGCATTCCTAAAAATTATACAGCACATGTGACCAGTGACATTTTAGTTTTAGAGCTGACATTCTCAGTGCACTGGGCTCTGATTGATGACTCTTATAGATCCAAGGTCATGAATCTCCAGCAGAAAAAAAGATGGAACGATGCTCTATGCTGGTTGGGAATGAGTCCTGCGAAGGAATTAAAGTTTATTATCCTGTCATGATTGGCTGTTGGATGGAGCGAGAGATGAAGGGTGTAGACCCACTGCTCCTCCTCCTCCAAAGGAGTCAGTTGAGGTGTTTACCTCCCTCAGGAGTAATTTGCTGGGGATGTCCCACTAGGAGAAGGTCCCGTGGCAGAACCAGAACTCACTGGAGGGTTTACTTGTCCTCTTTTGTTTGGGAACATCTTGGAGTGATAAAAAGGAAACATCTGGGCTTCCTTCCTGGATATGCTACCTCTGCAGCCCAACCTTGGATAAGGAGAAGCTCAGCTTGTTCAACCTGACACCCGTTACTCCTGCCAGCACAACATTTTCTTCACTTCAGTAGTGATCCTCATCAGAACCTCTGACCCGTGAATGTTGTGAGTTTTCTGGCTCTGAAGCACAAAGGAAGTCAATTTTTACTTGTTTCTGCACAAAATTAAAGCCTTATTCATATGGATAATCTCTATATTAGACGTCTCCGGCTTGTTGTGGTTAGGGTCACCAGCTAAACCCGTTACCCGAATCCGACATGCAGCAGGTCAGTCATGACACTGTGAGTGTGTTTGCAGAAGGAGATATTTTTCCTTCCGTTTTAACTTTCGTCATCAGTGCAGTTGACTTCATTTGCATGAAGTATCACTCGTCAGCAAATTAAAGGGTGAGATCGTGCCAGGCTGCTGCAGACCTCAGGTCACTAGGAACGGACACAAGAGAAACCCCCAAAGGAGGCTGTTCCTGCATGCTGATGCTGCAGAGATGCACAGAAAATTACATTAACAAAGGAAGTGCAGAGTGGGGAGAGGGAGAGAGGGTGCGCGTGTGTTTCAGACACAGGAAGTTAAGTAAAGTCTTTTACTATTTCATATTTTGGATCATTTGTTAGATATTCACTCATTAGTGATCCCAACAAGGTTGTTCGTGAAGACACTTTTGTTTATTTGTGGAGTTTTCTGGAATCAAAAGTTGCTTAAAAACCCAAGTTCAACGAGAAACCATTTTTTACTTATTTTTAAATATGATCGCTCACTTTGAGTTTCACATGCAGGCTTAATGTGAAAACAGTCTTTTACCCCTATTTCCTGCATTAGCTGTTGATAAAAAAAATTGACGGGGAATGCTTGGATTAGAAGAGCCAGTTAGATCTACGTCACACTGAAAATTAGGATTCATGGAGTCACCCATTTTGCCTCGCGATGAGGCAGAGAATGTCTCTGCTAGTAGAAGCTAACCGTTAGTGTTCCAGAGCTTTTGGTGCATTTGATTTGTCAGAAATGCCCCCCACCCACCCACCCCCACACACACACACCCAAAGTCAGACCTCCGAGTCGGAAACTCAGAAGAATTTCAGGACTCCGACCTCGACATCCATGGTAGCGCTCCGTATCAACAACAGTAACATTCATGAGCTTGTGTAAAACCAATGTTACATGTAGTGCTTGCAACTGTAAGTTGAACACGCTAAAAGTTTTGCTTGCATGTTGAATGTAGCTACAGCTTAAAACTATGTTATTAAGAGGAATCTACAAACAATGGCTATTTGGAGGAGTGTGTCGCCCTGTTGGAATCCTGACTTCTTCGGCTACGGTAATCAGAACCAGGGGTTGCATGACTTAATTTTTTTTAAAGTCGACTGTCAAGTAATGAAAATCGAGTGGACTTTAACTAGTCGTTGATGACATTGTACACCTGAAGCGGCGCGCGGGGGGTGGGGGGTGGGGGTCGGTTGGTTAGCTGGATTTTTTTTGACGGTTAAAATTGCGCCCACATTTTCAAAGTTAAACACATTTTTTAACAACGGTAGTTTCTGCTTCAGCCCTCTTCCCCCTCCTGCGCAGCAGCCACAAACTCACTGATGCGCCTGCAGCCTCTCAGAGTTCCTGCTGCTCTAAACATTCAAATAATTATTTCATTTTCTGTCCCTCACTTCTGATTACCTTCAATGGTGTCTGATTGCTGCAACCAGCAGGTACAAAAACTAACTTGTTTTATCTGACTATTTTTCTGTCCTGTCTGTTTATTATTGTGGCAATACGAGCGTGGTCTATGACCTGTTGACGCCAAGTATGGCAATTGTACCTACTCGGGTGCAATTATTTCGAAAAACTATTAACCTCGGGCATGCTCCGGACGACGTATAGTCGTCATTACCATAATCGGAGTAGCCAATTGTTACCAACAACGCCACCTTGGGAATTTCGCCCAAGGAAATAATTAAAGCACGTAGATTCGTTCCACTTAATTGAGACAGCAGACGTGGGCCAGAAGTTACAATCGACGGAGAGTTAACTAAACGCAGTTTACTGTAAGTTTAAATAAACAAAGAGGTTAAACAATAGGGTCTAAACCAGTGGTTCCCAACCTTTTTCCCAAGGGACCCCGTTTTTTACCAGTAAAATTTTTGACGACCCCCTCCCATTCTCTCTTCCAGTACAAACATTAAGAAATGATAAAAATGTTCAAGCACATTTTAATATGCTTTGATTTAATAGATAACAGTAATAGTAGGCTCCAGTACAGAACAAAGTCATTAACAAAACCAAACACAGCATAATGTGCTTAACAGTTTGTGTTACTTTTCTGAACACATTGTTTCTTGTAAACACTGATAAATCAATCATTCATTTCAATAAACATTTGACACATAAAAAATATACTGAGCAAAATGTACTTAAATGTGTATATTACTGTTTATACTAGATTATTTACCGTAAACGCTGTGATTAATCAACCAGTCCTATCTTTAATGAACTTTTGACACTTGAAAATAAAACAGTGAGCTGAGCAAAATGTTCTTAAAAGTGTGTTACTCTTTCTGTACTAATTATTTCCTGTCTTAATATCAGTAAACTTTTCACTCATGAAAAAAGTGAGCAAAATGTAGGCTATAAACAAGTAATAAATGAAGTTTTAACCCCTTAAAGTGGAGAGGTCCTGGCGACCCATTGAGAGGCTTTGGCGCCCCCTTGTGGGGATCGGGACCCCGAGGTTAGGAACCACTGGTCTAAACAATAGCTCTCAATTAGTTAAACCTTTAACCAAACAAAAGTGTACAGGCTGTATTTACCAGACAAGTGTGTCTTACCAGCAGGACTGAGGCTAGTGATGGAGGCAGGTGACTCGGGGCAGAGAAGCCCCAACCAGCAAAAACAATAGAGAAAATAAAAAGAATTAACCCCCGGCAGTGAGCATTCATACCAATGTGAGAACCCAGCACCACCACACTCGCACACGGGACCGCCACCTCCAAGGCCACACTCCACACCTCCTGCCTCAGCCTGCACAAAGAAAACAAGATTAAAAACTATATAAAATCTGTACAATAGGAATTAGGTGTTCTTCCTCCTGGACTCCAGCCACGAGCCAGGGGAACTTCCTCCAACCAGCTAATTTAAAACAAAGTAAACGAAGCGAAACAAAACAGCAGCGCCTCTGGCCAGACCACGGAGGAATCTAAAAGGACAAGGAAGAGGTAGAAATTACCAAACTAACAAATGGCCAAGTGTGGAGACGGCGCAGCACACACCTACCGGTCCTCCTACTGATGACGCCTGAGCAGAAGGGAACTCCCTGCCCGGCAGCAACAGGGATTGAATCTATCCCTGGTTTTACAAAGAGCTGATGTTAAGATTGTTTGACTCACAGGTTATCTACCTGCAGAAGGTACGTACCGTTTACCAATGCTTTGTCTACCAAAGGCGAGCAATGACGTCACACTCAACACTGATACAAATGCCCAAGCTGCAGAGTGCACAACACAGTCTGAGACACAGTAGCCCTAGTGCTAAACAGAGTAGCCATCCAGGTACATACCACAGTTGGAGCAGAGCCGATCACACCAAAAACGCAGCCTGAGGACACGGGCTGGCAACACCAAGATGTAGCAGTATACTGAGACCAGCTGTTTCCTGAACCTACTTCCTCGCCGGAGGAGCTCCCCTTTTATAGCAGCAGCGCCCTCCTATGTACGGAGGGCGTACTGCTCTCGACTAATAAAATTGGAGCAGGTATTTCGTACTGCTACATTATCTTCCTGCATCTTCTCTCAATCTTAAAGAAAAACTGCTACGTGGCTTCATATATATTCACCTTATGAGTTACCTTTGAACTGCAGTTCTAAAAGATCTACCGACCGCAAAAACAGCGGTGTGCGCGCTGACCGCACCGGTAAGGTGCGTCACCGGAGGACAAGGTGATGCGCCCCGCTCCACAGCAGCGAAACGCATCAGGCACAAATTAAAGACAGAAAACATAAAAGGATATGAGCCGACATGAACGATCGCGTGTTAAATTTGTTTTTGAGGTGGCGACACCTGATTTGATAACGTTACTGTGGCCGTGCTCAGGACGCAGATGTCTGGAGCGCAATAACGATCAGAGCTTTGCATGCGCAAGCTGGTTAAGGTTAGGATGGGGGTGAGGGGAAGGTTAAATTGTAATAGGGTAAAGGTCACAATTTGGTCAAATGTCCGTTTTACGGCGGGTGTCAGATACCGACGCTCTGGCACAGCGCGTCGCCTCCCGACGCGCAGGAGCTCGTCACCTGCTGCATTATCAGAGGACTGCATCTTGCCGGTCATTATCACGTGACAGTGACTAGTCGATGACAGGCATAAAAAGTCACTACAGAGCGGTGAGGTCGACTAGTCGACTAGTTCATACAACCCCAAATCAGAACGCAATTAATTTGGGTGTGAAGCCATTCCCAGTTCCGACTTCCGAGGTAAATCGAAAGCACCATTTGTTCCCACAGAGATCAGAGATGCCT